TCTAAGCCCTTGGAGGGTGGAACTGCCACATTTCCTAAAAAGCTTTATCTGGGGCATTTAGGGCATCTGCATGCAAAATGGCCCTCTTCCTCACCAGAAAAAAAGGTTTCCCATAGTGATTTATATGGGAATAGGCAAATCTACTAGTCAGATTGCACACCAAACTCAGCTGTAAATTTCAGCTCTCAAGACATTTCATCCCTATTCAGGAATTGGCTTACCTGGCAGTTGACTCTCAGGCATTATTTGATTTATCTGCTTTCACTGCAGACAAGAAAGAAACCACAATGTTCCTGCTACAATACACCAAAGCCTACACCTCCTGGGTTTAAACTCTAGGCTTTTTTCTGAGTGAAAGAGTAGCTGGCCATTCTCTTGGTGGCCTTGGAAGGCACCTAATCTGTGTTGACACAGCATTTCTCTCTGTCCTGGGAACTACTGGTTCCTACTTCATTAGCTTCATTTCTTATAGGAAGACTCGACAGATATCACAGAAGAATCCATAAGAGTCAGATGAGGTTAAAAGATGGAAAGAATGTACTGAAAACCTCTACAAATAGTTATATAGAGAGATATCTGGATATAGTATCTGCCTGGCTGGTTTGATCTGGCCAAGTTGGTGCGTTCTGGGTTCCATCAATTAAACAATGCCATCTGCCTGGACCTGGAAGCACACTTTCTCTGTCGTAGCACCTGCCCTCTGGAAGGAGGTTCTCCCTGAGATTCGAACATACCCCATCCTACTGGTATTTCAAAGGGCCCCAAAGATGCGGCTCTTCGCCCAGTCCTTTGGAGAGGACAACTGATGTCCCTTTCTTCCTTTTGGTTCCCCTGTGGGTTTGTTTTCTTTGCCATCTTTGTTCATTTCTCTTGTGCTGTTTTTGTACTGTTTTTTTGGTTTAAAGTGTTTTTAACAATTGTAAACCACCCAGACTTGCTGGGAGTCAGGTGGCATATTATTATTATTATTATTATTATTATTATTATTATTATTATTATTA